GTCCTGGTCCCTGGAGAGATGAGTTTTCTTCTTGTATTCTAGAATTATTATTATTATTATCATTATGCCTAGTGAACAGCTTCAGGGATGGGGTGAGGTCTGGCTCCAAGACTTATGAGGCCCTTGGGTGGGTACTTTTGTTTCTCACATGCAGGGAAACTCCCTAGGGAATGCTGTAAGGAGGACTTGAGCCACAAGCTCTGTTGGTCCTCTTCCTCCTGAGCAGCAGGCCTTCATGGGAACCCCAGACACTCAGCCCTTGGGCGGCCCCTACTTTTTCTCATTCACTCTTTGGGAAGCCATTCACGAGGCTCTGTGTGTGTGTTTTCCCTCTTTCCATCCTTCAATTTCCTACCGGCACTCTCGAGAGTAGCTGGTTTCCTTTGCCTTCTTTAGAGTCTAGAGTGCATTTCGGATCTTGCACCACTAGGGGGCAGGCCCTCCCTTCATGCCTATGCTCTGGCCCAACGTTCTCCGGTCTTGAATAAACCTTGCCAAGTAGAACAGGCTTTGAAAGGAGATTTCTTGCATTTTTCCTTAAAGTTGTTCCAAGAAACCAACAGGGCCCACTAGGCAAGGGTGCTCCAGCCACAGTGAGATTAGTGCTGGGGTAGGCGATGCTGTCAGGCTAAACTGTACAAAAAGACTTGGGGAACGCTCGCCGCTCATCATTAGTCCCTAGGATCGGAACTGACTCTTGGTTATGCTCCCATTCTAACACCTACAGTGACATAATAATTACCCGTGGCAAATATCACAGGGAAGCAGAGCCCTAGCTCTGTAGAAACTCCTCTCTACCCAAATGATTCCATTTTAAAACCAAAATAATCTCAAGCCCAATAGAAAGGTGTATTTTCTCTCTGTCCCACACTTCAGTGAAGTGTATTGATGAACAGCACCCCCATCTGTCTTGGAAACCCCATCTGTTTTGGAGGCCAGGTGAAGCCAAGCCACTGACACATACTTCATGAGATACTGTGTGATGGACTGGGTATAAAAAGCTACTGGAATAGAACTTGCACAGTGTGTCAGCCTGGACAGGCTCACAGCCCACCACACAACCTCCGTGTAGAGGTTGGTTTCCTGATCAGTGCCACATCTCCTGGGCAACATGAGGTAGAGCTCCTTTTGCAGCATGAGGCAGTTTTCTGAGGCAATGAGCAGGGTGGAATAAAGCCTGTTTGGATGGCATCCTCTCTGATCCAAGGAATGACCATTTCCCTAACCTAGTGGACCCTTCTGTCACAGCTGAATGGCCCCAGCAGTCAGAGAAATGATTTTTTTTTTTTTTTGAGGGTCTGCACCTCCAGGTTTTTAAAGATCCTGTCAGTTTGGAATCAAAATTGCTTGCTGGCAGATTTAATTTTTAGCCATGAGTTTGTTACAAAGAGTCAAGTCCAAGAATTTGAATGGGTGATTAACTTCACTGTTTTTGCTAGATAATGATTGGTTTGGATCAAAGTAATGAGACTCAGTTTCCTGGGTGACTACAAGTATTTCTGAAGGCCATTACAAAAGAGGAGTTATAAAACACTGTGTGAAAAGTCTGCACCATTGAATAAACAGCCTGCCAAGGGAACTACTTTGAAGACTGACGCTAATGTGGATGTGTTAGATCTCATTATTATAAGGGCATGCCTGGAAGAATGCTCTAGCGAGCCTACCTTTTACAGCAGAATAAATAAATGCCACTCACTCCACACATAATTATAGGCTAGAATGAAATGAGGAAATAACCAAGCGGAGAACAGAAACTAGTATAAACTGCAGATGCTGTAATAATACCAAAAACCACTGAAAAGGACCACAGGGCCGACTCGAAGGCATTCGCTCTGGAGAATCACCCCACTGTCATTTACTTGAAAAACAATGAGAGTATAATGTGTGACTGCATCCAATAGTTAAGAAAAAAGTGAAATAATCTATTTTGTGAGCTTTGCTTCAGAATAACGGCAGAGAGGCACAGGCTGAATGACCCTGGCCCAGAGCACATACTGTTAAAGTGACTGACAGGCACATTTATTGGTCCTGCTTATGCTTAAACTTCCCAAAATAAGCTTTTTAAAAAAGAGAAAAATAGTTACAGATATATATAGTTTTTGAAAATAAGCAAACCTTCTGACTACATGGATGTTGAAAGTGAAAGGTGTTTTCCTCTCTCACCCTCTCAATATTTATACTATCAACTTAGATAATGATTTTTAATAGAAAGGAATTAGTCTGCGAGAGCCCATGCCATTTGATGGTACTTGGCAATAACAGGAAACCATTGCCAATTTTGGAGTAAGCAACTTGTGTGTTGGGAAGCCATTATCTCTGCAAGCCATCTATATTAATATATTTTAGAGAATTTCAGCTATCACCCAGTCTTTAATAACAGGAGAGTGTATTTGAAAGTGTCCATGTATTATAAGCTTGCTGTTAGAACCAAATGTAAATACGTAATCTACACATGTGGATTTTCTCGACATTTTTGTACCGGGTGCCGTTTCAAGCAGGATGATTAAACATAGACAGGTCTAAGCTTGTTACATGGCATTCAGTCAACTTCTCCTTGCCAGATAAAGCTGCCAAGCAGCCATTGAGGAGATGACTTCCAGAGTTTCAGTTATAGAGTCTCCCAGACTTTCTTTTCTTGAAGAGCAGCAACATGGAGACACCATCAGACACCCAGAACACAGGGCCCCACCAAGACCACATTTGATCTTGGTTTCATCAGCCACATGAAACCAGTTAGATGAGGTGGGGCATATGCCGGGCTTTTGAAAGTATGGAGTCACGTGTGAGATTCCGAACTACCTTTTCTCAGCCAAACGGTATAGTGCTTCTACCTGCCCTTCCTTAATAACCTCAGCAACTTTGCGGAAGTAAATTTCCGCCAGAAAAACATTAAGTGAAGTGGGAATGGGAGGGACTTGAAACGCAAAGCTATCTTGTGCTCCTGAAGACACACAAGTCCTTAAAGTCTATGGGTGTGTGATGTGATTACCATCCTTCTTCGCACTCAGGCTCAGCCAGGTTCCACACTGGGCCCCATGTCTGCTGGCCGTGTTCTTGGGCGGATCACTTACTGGCTTCTCTACCTAAATCTAACTACTTGACAATGACCGTGTCAAATATAATGAGGAGTGGGAGCCACCAGTGCTAGCCTTCCGGTTAGAGCTCAGTTAATCTTCAAAGTTTCTCATTGAGGTAAATGCTATTGGTGACCACAGTCTTCCAATGAGGACATTCAGGCAATCAGTGCCCTGTGTGAAGGTCAGGTCAGGATCTGAACTTGGGTGGTCAGAATCCAAAGTTCACATGCATGGCCACTCCACACAAGCCTGCACAGAACCTCACAAGACTGTACCCCTACCTTTGCAAGGCTCCAGGGAATTAGTTTACAGATGGAGGGCCACGTACACAAACAGAACACCTTTGCCGTAAAGGTGACAAGTGTCTTTTCTGGTGTTTATTTTTAAACAGTTACTAACTACTTTTAGATTCAATGGCAAGTGAAAATATACAACTTAGGAAAAAGCTGGAATGGTTCACTTGAACTCAGACTTTCCCAAAATAGACATTTTGTGGAAAAAAATCACTTATGAGCAAGATAAAATGACATTATCTCTTTCCAACAGTGACTGATGCCATGAAACATCCTCTGCTCAAAGTACGTTTTAAATGATCTGGGTAAACAATATAACATTTTGGAGAAAACCATGGTAAAGCTAAGAAGACCAAACTATGTCTTTTAGGAGATATGTGCATTAGTTCTATATTACTAAACAGGGTTTAAAATGAGTAGAATTACGGTGCTATGGGCAAGCAGCAATTGGAAAGACACATAGATTCTAAAATGCATGGGGAGTTTACTCAGATGGCACCTGACCACAAGTCAAAGAGCTTCCCCAGTAAAAACTGTAGCCACAGAGTCACAGGACCAAATAAGTGGGGGTGTACACAATGCTGAGCTTGAATGATCAGCCAATAATAAAATGCTCTGGCACACTGCGCAATATGAAAAGCTATGATAGGTATCAGAAGGTAGGGTGCTCTGTGTAATGGGCATTGATGGTGCCACTGGTCACACGAATCATGCTTTGGGCATTATAAGATTTACTAAAGACTCTTATCAGATCTCCACTTTACTGAAATAAATTCCAGGTAGGTTGAAAACTTATTTTGTGACCGTACTCCAATGAACAGTGGAAATGTAACTTAATCTCAAAGTATATGTAATCTAGACAAATAGAAAAAATCCTCAAATTTCTCAAAAATCAATATTCTCAAAAAAAAGCTCTAAAGGAATCATAATTTCTTAAATTTTATTTGCTACCAAATCATGACGACTCATACTAATAACAAAATATACTAAATTATCCTAGATAAAACTGTAACTACATGGCTGAAAGAATTTTAAAGTAAAACAAAACAAAACCCCAGAAACTTCCCATAGTAGTGAAACTGAACTCATAATATGCGAAGTGATGCTAAACTCGGGATGCATGATGTGAAGTTTAAAAAAAAAACAAAAGTGAATTTTGCTGCGTTTACTGTTAAGTTGCAGGTAGTATAGTTCTAGAACATTTGTGCTGTACATTTAAAGGTCTTCATTTTACCTTTAATAATGAGGAGACTCTAAAATAATGAACAATGTAAAAAGAAAACTTGTACTGCACAGGCATGGTCCAGCACTATCTGTTCCAAGGCTCAGGCAGAAGGGGGCAGTGCTGAGCAAAAAAAAAAAAAACAAAACAAAAAAACAAACAAACAAACAAACAAAAAAAACAAAAAAAAACAAGACTGGCGATCTTTAAATGTTTAGAATATGTTTATAAAGGTTTTTTTTTTTTATAGAAAACCCAAAGATACTTAACAGAGGTTCAGAAATACGCTGTAGAGAGCATCATCACTCAACACCTGTCAAGGTGGCGTCCCGTGAGACCAGGGAAGCTGGTTTAACAACGCAAATACAACAGAACCTTTCAAAGAGATCAAAGTGCCATGTAGCTTACCATTCATCGGGCGAGCACCCATAATCCTCAGGTTCGGGGGCATGGCTTCAAGAGGAGGGACAGAAAGAGAGGGAAAAATAATCACAGAAAGGCTGGAAACATAAAACCATGAATGGGGGAGGTGCTGAGAGGCGGGTTTCTAGAAAGGTAAGAAAATGAACGTTTAGTTGGATCTGGAAGAATGGCAGTTAGTACAGTGAGCAGAACATGAGGATTTATGGTAACCGGGTAGATTTACAAAGGTACTCCGGATCCCAGAACTGACTGATGCACAGAGGTCAAAATTTAGTAATAAAGATGTTTAAATTTAGCTGTTTGAACACACGCTGCAAAGCCAGCAGGAAGTCAGTCATTTATATTTATAACCGTAACAGAGTGTTTCAATGACACAAACATGCTAATCACCTAGGGCACAATCACACAGAAGAAGAAAAAAATCTGCCAAGTATTTTTCAGGAAGCTTTGACTGCCTTGAGACAGTAACTTCCTGAGAAGGCACACGAAAGTACAAGTTAATTGTTAATTGTATTTGTTTGATTAAATGCAACCACTGATATTCAAAATGGTCCACTCACCAAATAATTTTTAATCTTGAAAGATGTCTTCATCAATACGTTACTTTTACCCACAAGCCCACTGAAGCATGGAGGAAGATCCCTTGATATAGTTCATTTCAACTTTCGTACACCACCCAAAATACATCAGAGTAGATTTCCTTATTTCCCAATTCTGTCTTTATATACGGTAACTCAGTATTTTCCCTTTAAATTAGACTTACTATATACAAGTGGAGTTCAGAATGCAGAGATGGTTCTTGATAAGTACAATCAGCTGCTGGAAACTTAAAGAATTCATGAGCTCCCTAAATGCCTACCCACTTTTAACCTAGCCACGACAGGGTCTTCTACTTCCCAAGCATTAAGTTCCCTCCAGGATCCATGTGCCCTCTATTATAGCAGTCACAATGAAAGGGATCCCTTTGCTTTCCTGTCAAAGGCTTGTGTTTACTGTTTAAGAGGAAGGAAGGACTCATCCGGCCCATCTTGGACTGGATTCCCAGGAAAGGCGCTGGCCTGTGGCAATGCACTGTGGAAATGGGCTGTAGCACCAAGGTCAGTCATTTGTGATTAACTTCAAGGTTTGGGCTCCAGTTTCTGCACTGTCCAGGGGAGCGCTGGTAACTCTCCAAGCAGCTAACACTAAAAGAAGGTCTTGATAGCTTGCATTGGTAGTGTGCCTCACTCATGGAGAAGGTCCTGACAGCTTGCATTAGTTTTATACCCACTCATAGAGAAGGTCCTGACAGCTTGTATTGGTATTGTATCCACTCATGGAGAAGGTCCTGACAGCTTGCATTGGTAGTGTGCCCCACTCATGGAGAAGTTCCTGACAGCTTGCATTGGTAGTGTGCCCCACTCATGGAGAAGGTCCTGACAGCTTGTATTAGTATTGTGCCCTGAGAAAGTCCTGACAGCTTGCATTGGTTTTGTGTCCCACTCATGGAGGGGAAGGTCCTGACAGCTTGCATTGGTTTTGTGCTCCTGCTCATGGTTTCACACAGCTCTGGAGCTAGTGCTTCCCAAGTCATGAGGCTTACCAGCCCCAGAACACAAGGGCTGCGGTGCCTGCCCCTGAGTCTGGTGCAGCCCTTGAGAAGCTGAGTGCCATCCAGAGGGTGGAGGGTGGCAGGTGTTTGTATAAGTTGTTTGTATAAGTTGCCATGAAGACATGCCAGTATGGTCATCTCTGCCCGGGGAGTTCTTCACTCAAATTCACTCTCAGATTTGGGTTAAGGATCATTCTGTTGGAAACATCTCTTGACCTCCCTCATTACACTACCCTACGCCATCTGAGGCTCACACCGATTCTTGCTGCATGTTAGGACTATTGTATTATAATAAATTAATACCCATTGGCCACAGTTAGACTGTGAACTCTGTGTGGGAACCATGTAAACTCTGGTTTATTATTAGGTTTCCACTATCTAAAGAGCTGCCTACAGAAGGAGGCAGATCAACATTTGTTGTAGGTAAATGAAAGGTCATGGATGGTTACAGACACATGAGCTGGCTATAATTTAGTTCTTGGATCCAGGTGCATAACTGTGGAGATTTTCCTGGTGAATCTCTCCTCAGGGCTGTAGAATTAGCTGATCTCCTATCAAATGTGCTTCTAAACAAAACCTGCCAAGTAAACAATTCACATACTAAAGTTGGTACAAACAGATTGTCTTTAAGACTCTTCATCTGTTTTACTGAAAGGGAAAGGGTAAAGGATCTAGCACGGATCAAATGTCTGGTCTCCCAAATAACAATAAAACAACAATAACAAAAAGAATTGTTTCAGGTTGCTTAACACGTCTTTTTTTTAGCCCCAGAGATGGTGTTGATGAAATTAATGGCAGGTACAGGAGATAAGGAAAACTCTTCAATCTTCACAGCATGAGGAAGTGCAGTAGTGAACCCAGAAGTCCTCACTACTGCGGATACCTCGCTGGCTGGCTGTGATGATGCAGGCATCCCCAGAGTGTAACCTGCTACAACTGGACACTTTCCTAAGTGTCTCACAGCAGAACTTCTAGTTTGTAGCGAGTTCAATTTATAAATGACATTAGTTTATTTATGTTAATGACAACGTTCCCATAAGATGATCTAAGGGGAAAACCCAATGAGTATCAACAGAGGCATCCTTACTACAAAGTTGGTTTCTGGGAAACAGTCGTGGCTGGCAGCTGTGTACAAAAATTTGAACTTCACTGTCTGTCATGAAATTCAAACAGACCAAGTTTGAGGCAAAGCGTAAGTGAAACGAGAGAACCTTTATGAAAGTTAGAGCCTGAAACGTTGTTGGTAAGTATTTTATTCCTATGCCATTGCTGGATCCAGAGAACGAGCTAGAAACTACACTGCTGGCAGACTTGACTGCCCTTACCCTCCGGCTGACAGAAGGAGAGAGCGCAGGGCTTCACTGAGAGTCTGAAGGGTTCCCAGTCAGCTTATTGGTTGGCACTGAAAGTGTGCGACTTTCTCTTGTTTCGTCATTGCCCAAGTGTCCAGTGGGGATGAAGATCAGGATGTCTTCTGCACTAACTCCTCAGATTTAACCCGGTTACAGTGTGAGTGGGAACCTGTGCAGGTTGCTGTGAGCCACGAATGCTCAGAGGAAAAGCCCATGAGTGAGGCGGCTGACTGTGACGGACTCTCCTCCGTGTGTCAGCTGTGGAATCAGGTCACCAGGCTACACCCACCCCTGACACAGGACATGTGGTCAGTAAGAGTCGGTTTCTCCAAATCCTTTGTGCATCAACAAGCCTCCGCAACGCTGACACTCCAGGAACCCATTAGGATAAGAGAGACTGGAACTTCATTTAAAAAGGGAGAGGAGCGGATCTGGGAGGAGTCAGGACGGGGGTGCATATGATCAAAATACACTGTACGAAACTCTCAAGGAATTAATATATGAACTGATATATACACAAAAGGGCTATGGGTACTAACCCAAATGTACAAACCCTAGGTGATGCTTGGAAGTAGCTTGACTAGCTGAAGCATGGCTTTCAGAGTTCTTGAAGACATGAAGCCACACCCACTACACAGGCCCCACTTCCATTATATGGCTGATCTCTGCAAACAAAGGGACTTCTTATTACTAACCATGTTAGAACTTCCTATCTTGAAAGGGACCTTAGAGGTTTATTTGATTAAGTTTAATTACATTGTGCAGAGTTAAGAATATCGGAAAGGGAATAATTGTCTAAGGTCACAGGAGCGAAACTAAGACATGGCTCTAGAATTCATACCTTATCGCTTCACCTCATTCTTAAGAAATGTTCTCACAGGGACATGCATTTCATTGGCCATCTAATTGACAGAACTGGCACTTTGCTCAAACCCACCCTCTCCTCCCACACTTGTGCATTGTGAAGTTATCGACAGGTAAGGGAAGAGCTCTGCTTCTGCGCATATGGCCAGGGGTGATTAAGGACCTGTTCTGAGCATCAGAAAAACCCACAAAGAACAGCCCTTCCATCTCTGGTCTAGCCATGTGTATGTAGAATGTGTAAGCACTTGATGTCAAAGAACATGACCATGATTCTCCTGCTCCAGGAACAATTCTGGGGAGATTGGGGGAGAGCTCTTTTGTCTGAGAACTATCAGGCTTCAGATAAAGAGGAAAAAAAAATGCACACTGGAACATCAGTATTTCTTCTCAAATCAAAAGCCCATCTCTACAGTGTAGAAAAGCCATCCAATCACTGTATCCACAGGTTGAAGTCATTTTTGAATCAGACTCTCTCCTGCCCTCAAGAACAAGCATATCGGTCTCTGCTCCTGTTTGCAGACACGGTACACAGGAATAATAACGAATTAATTTAAAATATTTTCAAGATTGAGCACTGCTTTTCCACTGACTTGCTGCTTCAAGATAAAGTATGAATGAAAACAGTGGGTGTAAGCCGGAAACGCCCAAAGCGAGGAAGTGTGGTTAAGACATCAACATTTCCTTGCCTCATTGAAGTAAGGATAGTTTCGAAATTTGCTGATAAGGCTAGTACCACTCAACCGGAAGGGGGTGTCTCTGAATGGCTTAGGCAAGCATACATAAATAATAAAAAGTATAAATACATAAATAAATAAAAAGTATAAATACATTTTAAAAAGTCAGGAATAAATTAAATAGAGGCCACACCCAATCTGAAGGCCATTATCACTTAGGTTCTCCAGGGTGAAGAAGATGTTCATGTCCCTACCTCCCGCCCATCCCCAGAAGTTTAGATTGTTCTGTGACTGCAAAGAGGAGACATGATAAAAGGTAAAAGGAGAGCAACTGTCAACAATGCAGGACGACTGAACCTAAAAACAGACCAAGGCCTCACTGCAGCAGCTCCCCACATCTACCCTGACTTTGGCCAGAGCGAAGGGAAGTGGTTCGCCCTTATCCCTAGGCACAGATGGAGACCTACAAAGCCCTAAACACTGAGGGGCCTGTCAGTCACTCTCCACCTCATAGCATCCCCCAAGGACAGCAAGACCAACTGTAAAATACACAATTCATCCACCCTAAAGTAAAAAGAATGGTTTTCTAGATTTAAAAAAACAAACAAAACTCGAGCCCTCCTTGCACAAGAATGTCCAAATATTCCAAACTGATGGCATCAATTAAACGTATATTTCATACCCCCAAGTAAAGGGAAAACACTCACCCATAAGCCACGCCCGCGATGGTGCATTTCTTGAACTGCATCACATTGCATGTCAGGGTCCCAGTTTTGTCAGAAAATATGTATTTAACCTACAAACCAGTTGAAAATCCTAATTACTATTTCAGGGTTTTTAAATGCCTACCTTGGTGCCTTATGCATATCGGGCAAGTGCCCACCTATGAGCGACAGCCATCCTGCTCAGGAATTGGTTTTTTTATTGAGGGAAGAAAATGCACTTAAAGTACAATTTCTTTAAAAGTCAACTTTGTTTTACTGTGGGGTATAATGACTGCTAGAATTGCGTTTAGTACATTCTTTTTTTTTTTTTTTTTTGGCTTTTCGAGACAAGGTTTCTCTGTATAGCTTTGCGCCTTTCCTGGAACTCACTTGGTAGCCCAGGCTGGCCTCGAACTCACAAAGATCCGCCTGTCTCTGCCTCCCGAGTGCTGGGATTAAAGGCGTGCGCCACCACCGCCCGGCACGTTTAGTACATTCTTTAAGGAGCAATTCAGCTCTTTCAGAATTTTAGTGAGAAATTATTTTATATAGGGGGAATTGATGTGTATTAGAAAGACTAGAGAGAACAGTCTACATTTCTACAGAAAGTTTCACTGCTGTTTTCAACATACACAGTACTAGACCTAACCGGTATTCCTCAATATAACAAGAAATCCTAGGGTGGCAATGGCTTGTGCAGTTAATTTAAGACACGATCTAAATTGGTAGGGAACAGTGTAATCCGCTCTAGATGTAATTTGAATAGTATGCGTTGGGAAGTGGAGGAGGAGAAGACAAAAATCCCTTTTCAGCTAGCACTTATAAACCGTCTACAAATATACATATGTAGTCACATGTCACCTAAGGATGCTTCCATGAATGAGGATACACGTATGATGGGGATCCCACAAGACTATATCACTTGCCTAATGAGGCCATAGCTGTTAGCACGTGGAAGTGCATTTTATGATGTTCACATAATGACATCACTGGCAATGCACTGTTCAGAACAATCCCTGGTAAGTGATGCAAGGCTGCATATATTAATGAAGTATGAGTTATATATCTATATATATAATCCTATTTGATTAGACTTATACAACTGGAACTTTTCCTTCCTTCCAGATGAAAGTCATGAACAATTCTATTACTATTCCTATAACTCAAAAACAGCCAACATTTTATAGCTCAACAGACTACCTACTAAGAAACACACCTCGGCTTACACAGCATCTCACCTTGACAGGAAAAAATCTGCATTGGTGTTTGAAAACTCCACGACTAAATATGAACACTGTATGTCAGGCACTAACCAATGCATTTATGTGGGTTATTCAAACAATGGAAAACGAGGAGATGCTGCTTCATCTGAGGTCGCCACATACGGCAGAAATGATACCAAATCTCCCTTCTGATCCAGCTGTGGAGGGGCTTACCTGGCCAAGCTCCTCATTCAGATTAGACGTCCGAGCCATGGCGGCAGTGTCCGTGGGCTCGTAGTGCATGTCAAGATCCTACAGAGAAGTAAGTGACATCCTTGAATGCAAGGTACCGGGGGACCGCGTCAGCAAAAGCAATCACTCTGTTTTTTTCATGTTTCAAAAGTCACCATTTGACCTGCTGAGCCCCATGTAACCACGCTAGTCCTTTGCTCTCTCTACATGTTCTCTGTGGCTGTCCTGAAAAGTACTCAGCGGGGAATGAGCGTCTTTCATCAGAACAGGAGAGTATGTAGTGAGAGCTTGTCTGCGGAATCAGATAGTCCGTTTCCTTCCATTCTTCGTTCTCAATAAACTTAACCTCCTGTCGGGGTTAAGGTGTGCAGTCCACATGAAGTGTGCCCTTGAGTGATGTGAGGGAACTGTTTAGTGATGTTTGCTAGAAAGGCAGCCACTGTTTTCATATAGTTAGCTCTTCAAGCAAAGTTATCTAAGAGACCACATCTGGTTGAACTTGTCAGGCTAAGTTTCTTTTATTACAGATACTTGACAGTCAACCAAAAAAGGTATAATTTTCGATTTCTTCAAACTTGCCTTGCACCCAGTGACCATGAGGTCTGACCCTATTATCTAACCCCATTACCTAATAGTTTTTATAGTAGAATACTGTACTAACAAGTTAGGGGCTGTGTTTGTTGGGTTTCACATCTCTCCTGTCTGTTTCTGGATTAGGCTTTGAGTTCACATGTCATGTTGGAAGACACACATTTGCCAAGTGAGTCGGGCTGAGGGAGGAGAGGAGAGGGTTCATACACAGATCAATCTGGAAACCATATGAAATGAGGACCCCCTAGAGGAGAGGAGGGTGCCTGGGTCAGGAGAGACAGGCACGGCAGAAGAGCAGGTGTGATAGGAGAGCTGACGTTAAACGTCTTCAAAGCTATCATTCAGAAGTCCATACTGTATAACAGGACAACTAGCCAGAACCAGAATCCAGGGGACAGTTATTGATCTCATTTCCATGCAAGGAGGAAGCTGGCTTGTCGGGGCTGTCCCAAAGTCTCTGCTGGTTAAGAGGGTGGTTCAAAAGCAACAGCCGGCCGGGCTCATTCAACATTACCATTATGTGATTATTGAAGCTAATTCTATTTTTTGAAAATTCACATAAAAAATAAGGACTCGAGTAGCCATTTGATCTTCATGGTGCATTTACCTTATTATTTATGTGAGTGAGAGCCCTTCATTAACTTCAGTTTATCTGTCTATAAGGCTCAGTTCTTCAGCACCTATTCCCTGTGTGAAGTGAATATGCCTGCTGCTCATTTCAAACCCCTAATTACACTGATCTCTTATCAAACACAAGACAGAGGCTGACATTTTAGCAAGATCACTCACCCCAAGAAGACAAGGGACAGCAGCAAATGTATCTTTGGTTATATTCTTAAACTCCCAATATTGTTCATATCAAAAGCTTTAAGATAAGTTTGGAGCATAAAAAAGTAAAATCAAAATTTCTCAAAAAATTCAGCTTTTTGGCAAATTATACCTGACGATATAATTTACACAAATTCATTAATTTTAACTAAGATAAAACTGAAAAAAATATTTGATGAAAAATAGAAAACAGATGTTTAATACATCTCTCCAATATTAAAAACATCAATATAATAATTCAAAAGGAAAAACCATGCACACTGAAGTCATTTGCAGTGTCAAAAATGAACTAGATGGATGTCAATCATGTTGACAGTAGCACAGTTGTGTTTGATTGCTTATAAAACTCCTTGCCTATAAACAGGTTCTTGAGCTGCACAAACATTATGAGGTTCAGATAAAACACCTTGGCATCCTTCTGTTAGTGTCTAGAAATGAAGTTCTAGGAAGCCGAGTGACTAGGCAAAGTTGCTTATGTGGTAAATTATAACACTGGATCTACAAGACAGATATTTCAATTCCAAATGCAAAGTCTCCTTCCTCTATAGACACTGTGTGTCCCCAAACAGGTTTCCTGAACCAGATACCAGTTTTCCTCAGGATGTCTGGTGTTATCAATTTGCCTGATTCTGAGCAGACCATGCTAAAATTATAGGCTTTAAAAAATACCCTATCAGACTAAATTTTTACAAAGACAAAACACACATTTAGGAAGATGACATGTAATACAAATCCATATTTACCCAATTTATGAAGTATGCCTGGGTAAATTTTACCACTTCTAATGTAACCAACAAGCTGATGGGAATGAGGTTGTTGAAAAGGATAATGAAAGTCAAGAAGTTCAGTCCAAAATTACTAGCGCCACCATCTGTTGGGGAGGAGGAAGAACATCATTTATAGCTTTATATCTGCAGTGAGAAAACCTGAGCACCATAAGAATTTCCTTTATTATACAACAAATCTAGACAAACCAAAGAAGACTTTGCTAATAACATCTTGATTCTCAACCACCTCCTTCAGTGTAGAATCAAAGTTCTGTCATCCCTCTTTGTAGGGTGCCACATCAGGGATTCAACCAGATCTAGACTGAAAATATTCTATCTAAACTTAATGTGTGTAGACTTACTATTCCTTAAATAATGCAGTGTAATAACTACTTCCACATATACTTTGCATCATGCATATTAAGTAATCTGGATATGACTTATACTATATGACAGAATAAGCATAGTACACATACTGGGTCATTTAAATAAAGGGCTTGGACATCTGTCAGGTTATGGTCCTTTCCTCATGTCCTAGAATCAAGTTCCAAAGATACAGAGTGACAGCTGCATTTGTATTCAGCATGTTAATCCTATCAAGATCTCCATGATGCTATTAAAGAGGGAAAGAAACTTGGCATGGTGTCTTTAATCCCAGCACTAGGGATTAAATCCCAGCAGAGGCCTGCCTGGTGAGTTCAAGGCCAGCCTGGTCTACAGAGTGAGTTCCAGGACATTTAGGGAAACCCTATTCCATTCTAGGGAGGTGTGTGTGTGTGAGTGTGTGTGAGTGTGTGTGAGTGTGTGTGTGTGTAAGAAAAGTGCTTTAGCTATTGGTATTGCAAACTGTGCTCCAATAAGGAAGTTCAGAGATAGTAGGAGGGTTGAAGGTTTGTAAATACAAATTTTCAATTGGGCGGAAACACTTCTATGCGAATTCTTGAAAGCATTGGTTTCAAAGCAAACACAATAGCAACTAGAACAATCCAAGTTGTAAGAATACTTCTCTTTCCAGCACTAATCTCCAGGAGGCCTTGGACATGGTTGGTAAGCACAACCCTGAGTTGTATCTTTAGCTACAGGGACATTATTCATCTGTAGGTATATTAGTCTCCTAAGTAAATTAACTTCTTCCTCCTCAATAAAGAAAATAAGACAGGGAAGACTAATATATTGTAAGGAATATATACAAACAAATTGATTACAGTAATAACATTTTTTATGCTGAAATAATAAATCAACAACTATAAAATAACTTGGAATAGTTGTAAAACTGACTAAATGTAATAAAAAATTAGATAAGTGTAATGAAAACAGCTTTAAAATCTGTTTTTTGCTTTTGTTTTTCCTGTAAGATTGTTCTGGAATTTGTTTTCACACTTTGGGGAAATTAAGAATTTACTAAGTATTCATCACTAGGAAATGCAAGCTCACTTCCTAGAAATACCCAGAGGGGAAACACTAATACCAGAACAGCAAGAGAATACATGTTCCAGACGGAAGCATTAAAACTGCTCTCCCTGGAACAAGATGAGCATTTGCATAAAACTTCTGTTACTGAGTTCAAAGGAAAGCACATTAAAAAAGAAAGAAAGGGAAGAAAGTACATTCAGTTCGAAAATTTTTAAAGCATGCAAATTACGTTTTCATAATATATTCAATACTCATAATTTCCTCCACACATAATCTCCTTTAATGAGTTTAACTGCCACATTAAGTATATTTTAGAGGGCAGTTTTTATTTTGTGTATCATGTTAATGGTTATATTTATAGAGCATTTTATACAACTAAGAAATGGAGGTATGTTTTTTAAGTACATTGAAGTTTTGAGAACCAAAATTTTACACGCTTTTCCTGGAAATCTATTGAAAAATGAAGATAAGACCTCCAGTTATCTTAGCCACAAAGTTTTCTTTTCCGAAACAATGGGGCATTCCTCAAACTAAATTAAGATTGATGGTAAAGCAAAAGCATATTTAACTCAAAGGGGGAACACAAGCAAGCCCGCGTTTCACTGCTCACAGTGGAGATGGAGGTACCAGTCTTTCCCGGAATGCCTTCGATTCCAAATGGCTGAGCCCACAGAGCAGACGAGAGACATGGCAATTAAGATGCAAAATAAAATCAGAATTTGTACATTTGTAATCCGCTCCACATTGGAGAGTTTAAGTGGCGGGCTTGTGGAGTTCTGCAAGACAAAGCAAAACAAAGGATAAAAAACTGCACAATTGAGCATTGCTTACCGAGTATTCAAGGAGGGCGACAAAGTCACAGCCAGTATGTGGACTTGAGCTGAAAACTGTTCCAAACACATGACAAGTCTAATAAGGTGCCCACGGCTGCCACTTCTTTTTCTTAAGACCACTACACCACGTACACCTTCTTCTAGGTTGTAAAATAATGGGGGATTTTGCAGATTGTATCAGGCAGGTTAAGATGCACTTGGCTGCTTAAGCAAACAAGGTCTTTTCACAGCATCTGCTTCATGTCTTTGCTTAGAAAAGAGGCAGAGAAAAAAGGTCCATGGCCTGCCACATCCAAACATCTCAACATCTAAAGGCTCTCTGGTGCCACTCAGCAAGTGTTTTACTGGACACAGCAGTCATTCAAGTGGTACCAGCTATACTCAGTAACAGAGACCTGGGTGTGGCAGCAGGCTGGCTGGCTTAGGAAGCAGAGGCGGGAGGACCGTGAAGCAAGCCTGGCCTATGCAGCAGAGAACAAAGTTTCTCTGCTCTCTGTGGTGATTCAGTAGTGATGCCAGATCTGTGCTAACCAAGCATCCTCAGGACAGAAAAGGAAATCCCTCATAATGAATATAAATGGAGAATGACAGAATTTATAGCACGCCCAGCGTAGGCGCACTACCAACCATCATTTGTAACGACGGCATCTTCACACCTGTATGATGCACACACAGAACACTGGTCCTTATAGCGGAACTCCAATTAGTATTTCAAAGTGAGTTTTCTATATTTGTCGCACTACTGAGTATAGTGAGCTGAGGCTCCTATGGGTGTATATAAACATTAGGAGGAGGGTAGACAGCAAAAACAGTTTTGTATAGCAATGCCATGAAAAAAAAATGGCCGTTTAGTTTATACTTCTCTTCAAATTTTATGAAGAAACTCCAAGTTTAAACTTTGACCACTGCATTATAATAAAATCACGATATAAATATTTTAATGCAGATGCTGCTACACAGGCAAGTTGAAGTGCCTACTGGTAGTTGGAAAGTGTCAAAGATCAACACACACACCACCATTCATTGGGAGTTCATGTTTCAGGGGACATTGGGGGAAGTTTCTCAGTATTCCCATGTGCAGCGAGTTCTTCTCACAGGGAAGGAATTTCAAGGTCTCGTTGACCTTGTTCCCGGTATGGGTGTGTGGTATGAGGCTAAGGAATGTCTGCTCTGCTTGGGACAAGTGCACCAAGAGAGATGAATCAGTCATTTCCAAAAGACTTCGTCTCAAAAGGTCTCATAGATAAAAGTCCCACCTGCATCAGCTTGGTGTCGTGTCCGGTGTAGACAACTATCCCATGAACCCACTGAGTATTTCTCAACTGAGCACCTCGAAGAAGAATCTGGTCTGCTCCCAGGGGAACAGTGCTGCAACAGAGTACGTTGGCATTAGAGATGACATTGTTCAAAATGCTCAAGAAATGCACAGTCATTACACAGTTATCAAAGTCTCCACTATTAAAAATTTATTTTTGGAAAGGAAGTATTTTTTTCCCTACCAATAATGATAATTTTCAAATATAACTTGAGAAGAAGTTGGTTTTGTCCTGAAGACCATGCTGGCCATTTCCTATAGCTTTACTCTCCCTGGGGAATGCAACTATCCCTCAAATATTCCAAAGCTGAAGCTCCAAATCCCAGTTAAGATGACATTTGTAGTCAGACCTTTGCCAGGCTGTTAGTTTTAGGTGAGCTCATGAGGGTGAAGCCCTCTGATGTGATTAGTGCCCTGATAAGACACTCCAGAGCTTGCTTTGTCAATAAACACACACAAACACAATTTAAGTTACAAACAACTTTGTACATGACCAGTGCTCAAAAACTACACAAGGTAAAATAAACCCACAGCTCACTCCATCTCCTGGTACGACCATCCCCTTTCTGAAATAAGTGCCTAGACCTAAGGCCTTACAGTATTCATTTTACAGGATTAGAGTGTCTGTTTTCCAAGAATTGCAAACACATTCCCAATAAATAGTAATCATTTTGAAGCTATTTGCTTCCTAGACTTTAAACCACATTTCCATGAATAAGGCCCAGGTTGGGTCTTCTGTGTGTATCCTCTAAGGCTACCCTTTGTGGGACGGTATTAGGTGCTATCACAGATGTGCATTGAGTCAGTTGATGGAAATGGAAGATCCAAAACTGAATGAATGACTCAAAGATTCCTAATAACCAAAGTTTTCATTTAACAAGAAAGTAATGTAAAAAAAAAAAAGTTCAATATAAAGAAAAATATACTTAAAACGTGTAGGAAAAGAAGGAAACTATTTTCAATGGGAGTCTATAAAGAATACAGGACTTGTCAATCAGTAAAGGCCATTGAGCTTGGGAACCTCCATTTCTGGTGGGTGGAGGTGGTTCCTTGGGCTTCTAAGGCTAGTGACAGTTTGGGCACTGGACCTTCTTTCAGGAAATATATTCTGGCTCAGTGAAATCAATCCAGATGTATGGGTTAGAACGGCCCCTGCAGGAGTCCTCAGGAAACAGTGTATTTCAATTCCCGTCATCATTTACATGCAACAGCAGTCCTTAGGGTCCGCTGGGATGGGAATGAAGCTTAGGCTGTTTTTTGTGAAAGCTTATAAAATGACTGAGGACTGATTCTTTTATATGAAAAAGAGGTTTATTTTTGAGTCAAGCTGCAGTATTACACTGGAGGGCGGGGGGTGGGGGGTAGGGGGACAGGGGGCTGAGTTTCCACTATGGGAACCCTCCAGGGCACAAAACTATATTGAAACCACAGACCGCTGTTGTATATATGTCAACATCTGGAGTATTCTTCGGGATTAGGGTGGGGGTGGGGCTCCGAGGCTAAAGCAGTTTCCACAAGGTACTTGAGAAGTTGCTGGATTTTGCCCTAGGGCACGTATGTATCCACCACTCTTCACCAAACTGATGGCGCTCAGTACCACATTTGAGGCACATTTATTGCTTTCCACTGTCTCCCACCCTGCCGGCTCCTCTTGGAGTACCCGCCTCATTCATTCATTTTGACCTTTCTGACAAAATTAAGCATATTCTAAAACTCCAGTTCCTTAAATCTTGGCACCCTCATAAGAAGTTTTCTTCATGGCATGGATTTGCTTGGCACCAATTTAATGAAAAGTTGGTAAGGAATGGAAGCTGGCCAGTTAAAAATGTCAGACTTAAGAAATGATACTTGTACAAATGGCCAAATCTATCATTAGTCTATAACCATATGTTCAAGGAAAAGATTACTTGGAAAATTTTAGAATTAACAATTACCTCAAAGATCATGAGAAAGTTTTGGTGGATTAGATGAGGGCGTCAGTTCAGGGTATACTTAGTTCCTTATTTAATTCTTTTATCATTCATATTCCAGTAGTGAGGACATTGACAACATTCCCCTGGCTGGTTGAACCAGTACATCTAGCTGATGCTTACCTGGCCACCACACCCATCTGGTAGACAAGGTTTATTGTGTAAAGGAGGTAGGGCAGGGAGGGAGGAGATGACCACAGGAAAGAGAAGTGGGACAGACAATGCTCCACCCTTCTCACTGGCTTCTGCCTCAATTCTATGCCTTGCATTGCAATACAACTTGATAAAGAAGCCTACGCTAGCCGGGTGGTGGCAGCAGCGCACGCCTTTAATCCCGGCACTCAGGAGGCAGAGGCAGGCGGATCTCTGTGAGTTTGAGGCCAGCCTGGTCTACAGAGTGAGTTCTAGGACAGGCACCAAAACTACACAGAGAAACCCTGTCTCAAAACAAACAAACAAACAAAGAAGCCTGTGCTTGCTATAGTCAATTCTTCTCCATGATGTCAGGCTCAGCCCCATCAGGCTCAAGGGCTGTGATCTCCACTCAATAAACCCAAATGTTAATGGTCAGCTACATTGCAGTTGGTCATGAGTGACAGCTGACCCAACTTTGTCCCTCCTTCTCTTCTTGGAAGTTTCTCTTTCCTGGGTTTTATTCCATGAACTTGGCCTCTAGTCCCTGCTCGTTTCTCAGCCTTCTAATGCTAGACAGCCTTTAGGTCTTTTAATTTTTCCGTCCATATTCTTTCAATTTCAATGATTTTTCCAGCCCCAATGATTTTAAATATCTATGTGAAGTACTCATAAAGTTCAGACAAATATTCAGTGCTAAATAGACGCCATAAACTTTTTAAGTCCAAAACTAAAGGGATAATGGTTCCCTTTCATAACTCACTGATGGATCGCAAGTGTTCTCAGAACACCTTATAATGGCCTACAAAGCCTTATATGATGTGGCCCATTATTATCCTTTGGCTCTCACCTCAATTTCTCTTCCTCCAATCACAGTGATTTGCACTATTTTTAATCTGTCCAGAATCTTCTACTTCTAGATATTCAAGTGACTAAGATCCTAGTCTCCTGATCACCAATGTTCAAATGTCACCTAAAGGAGGCTGACTTCAACCACTCCAAGAGATTTCCTCCCAAAGAAATTTCCTTATCTAAGAGTTTTCTTCACCTCACATAGGAAATACAGTCCTATGCTGTATTTCCCAAAGGCTTTATTGCTTTTAAAAAAATTAATAAAGGATAAAATTTTCTTAGTTATCCCTTTATTTCTGTTTGTCCTTCATCTATTTAAAGTAGATGAAGTAAGATGAAAGTAAGTTCACAAGATTCTGTGGTATGTGTTAGGGTCCCGCCAATTGTTACATACTGAAATCCTATCTTTAATATTGTGGCACTTAGGATGCTGGTTTCCTGGGAAAGGGGTGGTTAAGTCTTGAAATTTCTGCACTCATGGGGCTGGGGGGATGGCCTAGTCAGTAAGTTGTCTACTGTGCAACCATGAAGACCTAGCTGGATTCTCAGAACTCATTTAAAAAACAACAACCACCACCAAGTATTGGTGTGTGCTTATAATTCCAGAACAGCAACGGCGGGGGGGGACAGGGCCATCCCAAGGCTTCTCCCCAGCCAGCCAGCCAGCCACTTGGTGAGCTCACACCAGTGCAAGACCCTGTATCAAAAGACAAGGTGGCTGGCTCCTGAGGAACAATACCTGAAGTTGACCCATGGTCTCTATATACACGCTTTTTACACACATGCAGCACACACACACACACACACACACACACACACACACACACACACACACACACGCGCGCGCGCGCGCACGAATTCTGCGCTTGTTACTGGGACTGAAACCTTACAAAGGATGCCCAGAGGCCTCTACCATGCCAGGACACAGGGTGCAATACTTCCTTACTAGACACCAGATTTGGTGCCTTGATCTTCCAGATCTGTGAGCAGTGGATTTCTCATAGATTTTTGAATTGAAGGTATTTTTGTTAGAGTGAATGAATGAATGAAAACATAAAGGCAAGGCTATCTGATTTGCTCATTGTGACTATGTGACATTTGTAAATGGTCTAGGCTATTGGGTACATACTAAATTTTAGTTGAATGACTAAGAGAAGTGATAAAGAAGTGATAGGAAAGATGAGAATCAGGTAACAAATAACAGTGACTACAGATAATAGCATGGCCTAGGAAAAAAGCATATAGAGTTAGACCAAAGAGTTATACAGAAGAAATTAAAAAAATAACTGGCTGTTTCGGTACAGTCTGAACTCCTCCAGGCGTCCATAGGTCACAGGACCATGGTCATGGGCATTGGAAAGGAAAATTCATGGCAAGAATCCCAGTGAAAAAACAAACAAACAAACAAACAAACAAACAAACCACACACACAGCCACAGGTTATCTAACCACCAAAGAATATTCCAGAATCCTAGAATATCACTGAAAACATCTAACTGCTGGGTTGGCAGGAACATGGGAATGCCTTTGGTTGCATTACATAAGTAGAGTCAGAATTCAGCCTCCCAACAAAAAGATGAGTTGGAAAACAGACATGCTTAAAACAAAGGTTGCCAGTGAGTATTCACACTTAGAGCCAAGGAAAATCATACGGAGTACAGGATGACACGGTGAAGGTGAGTTTACCTACCCATGTCCATCAAGCCTTATGTTGCCAACAAAATCGTAGAGATGTCGGTTTGGACTTTCACACTCAATTCTGCCAGAAATTCTCATTAGACTGTCAATGTCTTTGATATCCGATGTTGCTGGTAAGCCCTGTTGGAAGATTTCAAATAAACAGAGAGTATTTTAAGTAAGTATCGTGAGGGCGGGGCACCCTGCAAGGTCTTACAGACAAGGGATCTCACTATTTTGCAAATAATTCTCTTCCTTTACACAATGCCGCCAAACTCTAAGGCAGGGGTACCTTCCCTATCAATGTGAGCATGGACTTTCAGTGCAGAATAATATAACTTTTATGAAAGCTCTAAAGTACCCAGTGCGCCACTTACTTCTAAAAGTCAAGATCAACATTTGCTGCTGTCCAGTCTCTGAACCCCGAGTCTAATGAAGGGGATGAAACATCGACACAGTCTGCATTCAAGGAGAGCACTTTTGTCTGTCCTTCCTTTTTTCTCCACCCCTTACTCTCCCCCTCCTTGAGAGGGAGAACCTCCAAGCAGTTCTTCACTCAGCTGGAAGAGACAGGCACTGAGGCCGTCTATCTTCTTAGACATCTGAGTTTGGTTCCCCCACGACATCCAGTTCTACTACAGTCCTAACACCCCACCGACATTGCTATCACTCAGCGAGGGGCCAGTGGTATGTATTCTAATCCCTCCCCCCTTCAAACTTTAAAAACAAAACCTTACAGTTGTTTCGTGCAACGTTTCATAGCATGAAGAGCAAACATAGACATATAAAGTCATTCAAATCTCCAAGATAAATACGTTTCTGAAGTGCAATGAAAAACTGGGCTTTTCAGTATGGCAAACCTAATACTAACTGGGACTAAGAAAAACAAATTAATATGTCAAAGGACTTAGAACACCGTGTAGTGGCACTTACCTTTAATCCCAGCACTCACAGAGGCAGGTGGATCGCTGTGAGTTTGAGGCCAGCCTGGCCTCTATAGTGAGTGGAGGCCAATCAGGACACACCTGTATATATTCTCATTCTCATTCTCATTCTCATTCTTATTCTTATTCTCGTTCTCTCTCTCTCTCTCTCTCTCTCTCTCTCTCTCTCTCTCACACACACACACACACACACACAAGCATTAAGAACTACTAAACTGCTACTGTTATTACCATTCAAGCATTGGCTATGATACAAAATGGTTAACATATTATAAATAATATTTCATGATTGGTCATATTTAACCAGTACAGTAAATCTGGCTCCCACAACACTTCTACCAGTTTTTTGAGACATGTTTCACAATGGTTCAAACTGACAATAGTTGTAATTAGACAAAAATCACTTTCAGACAGCTAGAGGGTCTTAAACACATACGACAAAGCAGTGACTGTGAGCTGACAGACAGCAGAACTCACTTGTCTGATTTTCAGGTTGGTCTCGCCATCTAAGTTGGATGTCTCGATGTAGCACATGGCCTGGGGCTCGCTGTGAGTCGCAATTGGAAAACACAAAGCTTCAGTTGGGGAAGGGAAGGAAGGTGCCAGCTGCCACTGACTTAAGAACTCACACTCACTAAAGCCAACAGTTCTAGACAACGCTATCGTCACCTGGCTCCTTGATGACTTTCATTCTAAGAGCAAGGCGGTGTTGAGGTAGAGCTTCTCATCATGCACGACACTCATGGATCAGCCTTCCAGCCAGGAGAACCCAAAAAGCCATTTCCCGACAACACTCAGGGATGGTCTTCATGATAACGTAATGAGGAGCCACAGTTTTTAAACGGCGTATCCATATAGACACATCACAGACTATTTCTGAAGTGTAAACCAGGGTTGTGTCTAGATTTATCTCCAGCTCAGAATGTCCAATCAGGCTTCATGCTCACGGCCCACATGTAAATTGGTTATGCAAAATGGTTGATTAAAAACTTCCAGATTGTTCCTTCAACGAGCTTGTACTTACTACTTTAATCTTTTAGCTGTGATGACAAGATCACACAGACCACATATTTATTAAAAACGTAAAGCTACTTTTAAAGGATGTATTCTACAATGAAAGGGACATTATACTCTATATGTTTTGGCCTATTGAGAAAAAACTTGTTTGAGAGGGGTGTGTGTGTATGTGTGTGTGTGTGGTGTGCATGTTCATGTGTGGCCAGGTACATAATATGTGTGGGAGAGCACGTACGTACACGTGTGGAGGTCAGAGGACAATCTCAGCTGCTACCAGTCCTCAGGTGCTGTCCATGCATTTTTTTCTTTTCTATTTTTTTAATTAAGAAATTTGTCCATGCGTTTTTGAGACAGGGTCTCTCACTGGCCTCAAACCTGCTGAGTAGACCGGGGTTAACTGGTCAGAGAGCTCAAGGGATCTGCCTGGGTCTATCTCCTTGGCAGTGGGCTGACAAGTGTGCCGTCACACCTGGGCTTTTTCATGCAGGTTCTCCCTCAGGGATTGAACTCAGGTCCTCACGCTTACAAGCAGGCACTTTACAGACTGGTCTGTCAACCCAGCCTGACTGAGACATTTGAAGCAGAAAGATAATTAAAGCTAAAGTCAGTCCACCTGGCTACGATGCTCCACGTCCCGAAGCTGCCACATCTGAGTGTTGTAAGTGAATTCTGTATGTGGTGACCTGGGGACCGTGTTCTCCACTTATATAGAGACTCTTACTTTTTGTAAGAGGCTGCTACAGATTGTAAATTTAATCCTCAACTCTACAGAAAGACATTCTGAACATAACCCAAAGAGTATTCTTAAGTTAAACCAAGCTCATTAACACTTGGCTCTGTAATAAGCCTAGTTTGCTATCTGATAAATAACTATTAATATAAAAGAAACTTATAAGTCACAATGATTGGAATTTTTTAATCAACTTCCAATTTGTACATGTGTAAAACCAACTGCCCTAAGTGCTAGAAATGGGCACTTAGCTTAATTTTGTCACCCTGAAGTTAAGAAAAGTGACTTAAAGACATAAACATCAATCAGATTTCACAGATTCATTTTGAAGTGACTTTGCACATTCTCCGGTTTTTTCCGTGAGCTTTCTTTCAAATAGGCTGCTATTTCCCAAGCAGAGAAATCTTTCCATACTTATATTTTCACTATCAATTATTCAAAAAAAAATATTTTTAACTCATGGTCACGATAGTTATTCTCACTCTGGCAACTGTCCAACTTTCTAACTTCCTCACATTCATTTGAAACATAAATGGTTTCTAAAACCGCAAAACACATTTCTCTGCTAACAACAACAACAACAAAATGGTGACCAAAAACTGAATGAGACCGTTGATTCTTTTTCTAGGCAGTAAAACATATTCAAATGTTACTAATAAATATACTTATCCAAAGCCAATCTCATATGAAAATGAGAATAACATTCTAATTCTAATACCGCCCTCCATACGCAACAGCGTGTGTAGAGCTTTAAATGACTAAGAAACTAGGAAGTTTGAATGGAAGCCAACAAATACACCCCAATTTGGAGCACTCTTCATGCTGATTTGAGACCGTTATGACTGCAGTAGCTCTAACAGGGCTGTGAAGAAGCAGAAGAGTCGGGGACTCATGCTCGTTCATAAACATGTCAGCAAGTCATGATAACATCCAAGACACAAACTACAGTCAGAGGCAAAGCAAGCTTTTGGATTAGTAAGTGAAACAATGAAACAAGATGCACACCACTGGACAGACACCAGGGGAGGACAGCGGACATGGACCACAGCAATCTGCACTGGTTCACAAGTTACAGGCGGCAGAAGAGACTGATCCCAAAGCATGCAGCACAAAAATGTACGACATCCAGCCTTGTGCAGGGGTCCTCTCTAAACCCTATACAAGCCCAAATTTTAGTCGCAGTCACTGCAGAAATTCCACAGAACTTGTAGAAAATTTAAAAAATATGCAAATAGGAAAACATGCTTAAAATGTAATCAGTTTTCAATGATCGCTTCATGAAAAGCTTAACACTGTTCAAAACAATATACTGGAGAGTTAGTAACTACAGCCTTAAAGTTGAGGCATGTTGTTTAAACATGTGACTAGTGCATAGGAATTTTAAAAAAAAAATCTCTTGGACTCCGATGGTTAATAAGAGGAGTTCAATCTGCCCAGTGGAGGGACAAATAGCATCCAGCACTGTATTCACAAAGCGCCTTTAAAATATCTCTGATGTACGCCATCTAGGAATGTCCGCGCCTGCGCTTTCATGGCAGATATCCAGCTGAACCGCATTTGGGCGCCATTGCTCTTTGGTTTAAGGTGAGGACCCACATGCACACACCCTGTACCACTCTGCGGTTCTGACCTTGAGGACAGACTGATGAGATCTGCCGGGAGGTGTTCCCCATTGGTCACTCTCACTATTTCCCCCACCGCCACCTACGTGTCCCAGTTTAAAATAATTAAAATGGGGGGGGGGAGAAAAGAAACAAATAACAGAGAAAATAAAAACCAAACAAATGGACAAAAGAGACAGAAGGTCGGAAATTATTATAGAAAGGAATTCATGTTAATAAAAATGTCTAATGCCGATTTTTTCAAAACTTATTTTGATCAGGCCTGAAGGGAAATGAAAATATTTACTATCCAAAGGACACTTATTTGATTTTTTTTCAGCCCAATTTTCAATTTCTAACGTGAAAAGTTAATATTTTAGAGCTTACATATAAGTATTTCTTATCAAATTAAATAAAAAAATTTTGTAGTTATTTTAATCTTACAGATTTCCTTTTTTAAAACAAAAACTCAATTTACTGTCAACTCTATGTTTACTGTTATCAAATAAGCAAAGAAATAATTTTAAGATTGTGTGTTAGCTATTTGAAAAATAAGTACACTACATTAAGGCCCTTCTCTCACCCACTACAAAAGTAACTCTGTTATAATTCCAAAATGTTTTCAAGGTTGACTGCATCCCTATCATATTAACTTTAGTGGAAAGCTGCACAGATGTCTGTCTTGGGCAGTTAGGGGGCATGACTGCAACATTTGGAGTTATTTAATAATTAATCAAGTATAACAAACACATTGTGTTTTAGAGAGTATAGGAGGGTAAGCCCTTGTATCCTGAGAGAAGTCTTCAGGGAAGGTATGAAAAAGCCATACCAAGAATCTGCCTGGCCTTGAATTAAAGCCTTAGTTGCTCTAGTTTCTGTGGCTACATGGTAAAATTTCAGTCTTCTCATTCAGATTGAAAGTCAATGAAACACAGAACTTTCAGTGACGTTCTTACTTTAATCTCAAGCTGCCTCAAGCTTACCTGTGAACTTGCTCTCACATAGCCAAGTCAAGCCAATACGTAAATAGTTCTATTTTAGAAACGCTCCCTGACAAAGTTATGAACAAAAGTAACCAAGAACAGAAAGTCTGACTTAAAAACAGTCATTTATCCTTCACAAAGATGTCAGTTATAAAACAGAGAAATAAAAATTCCCTGAGTTGCTTCAAATCCCTGAATACCTGTTTCTATAAATAGTCAGGAACTACTAGTTTCCTGATTACAATTCACTAACTTGTCAAAAATTCAATCATTTCAAACCATGACCTGATTAAATAGATTTTGAAAAAAGGACACTGTCCATATTTTTATGTGGATTTTACAAATCAAACTGTCCAAGGAAATGATGATAAACAACCTCAAGAATATTAAAAAACACATTTCTTCTTAATTTATTTTAGGACTAGTTTTAAGGTTTTAAATCCTAAATTTACACAAGGACTAGTGTGATAGTTTTTAATCCTAAAGCCATATGTTCTGAATACTGATTCACAACTATCTTAAATGTGAATGCAATAAAAATGATCTAAATTCAGCAACAGAAAAGACGGAAAGAAAAGAACAGAGTACTCATTTTGGGTTGGATAACCGTATCATTTAGAAAGGTATAATGACAAAAAGAAATCACTCATCCATTTTCTTGTACCCTTTCACCATAAGGAATAGGGAAGTTAGCAAGAGATGATTATTGCACCATAAAGGACTTTATGAATGAGGACTGAAAGAGAAAATTCACAGAGCCCACTCCATGGATGGCATAAGGCAAATGATAGGAAATTTTAGATAGAGTTAGTGGTTCACACACACCACAAGGATCTGGATGTAGCCAGAGGAAGCAGAGACCCTCAAGTTTGGGCTATGTAGTACCCGATACTTCAATATGGCAAACAGGAAGCCAATCAGTTTTTTAAATGCTTAATTAAAAATCATGAGAGGTTTAAAATTCTTCGTTTATTCTGTATTTCCTTGGAGAAATCACAAGGTCAATGCAGGGTAGAGAAACCATCCTCTACACTGTTTGAGCATCAGTAGGTGTCTCTACCTTGATGAGAGAAGGACAGTGTCAGCAGGTATATACTCTTTGCCTTTTATTATAACTATATCTCCAACATTTACCTGAAAGAAAACTGGGAATTGGTTAATTATCTGCATGGAAATATGGTAAAAAAAAAAATACAATCCATTGTACTAATGCACAGAATTAAAAAAAAAATTCTAACAGTCACAATGGCATAAAATTATTAAGGGGTAAATGTATATTTGATTTTAATCTGTCATTTATCTTTATAAAACTTATTGAACAATTATACCTACTTGGTTGACATCACAACTTCTTAAATGTTCTCTCTTTGACACAAAAATAAGAAGGAGGAACCCACTAGCTGAAACCTCTACCCTACTTAAGGACATTTCAGTACAAGTGAAGAACTGATCATATCTGTGATGATTCCTCTTCACAATGACCTTTACGTAAAAAGCAGTCACTGCAATTTATAATTTGGAGTGGAAGAAAACATCTAAGATCCTAAGTTTCTGAGTCACAAGTTGAGGATGAGTGAAAAAGCTGAGACTCAAATCCACACCTACCTATCACCTCGCCCAATATTTGAATAAATGTAATGAGACTATCATTATAATTCAAATAAAATAAAGAGCAAAGTTTATTATACATTCACCCTCCCTGAGTATGGTATGAAGATGAATTAAAGTTCTGTTGTGGCCAGAAACTATTAGAAGTAATCTGTCAGTGTTCTTACTGCCTTTGGCAAATAGCTTTGGGCAAACAGTGCCTCTCCCACTCAGTAACACCTGGCTCCGCTTCCTTGGAGGGAATCATTATAGGAAATTACTACAGATGGGGGTCAGTATGCTCTATTTTATCTCTTGGGAGAAACAGGTGAGGGAAAGCTGGAGAGGGGCATCTTATAATCTACAGTATGAACACTAGTTGTTCAAGTAAGAAAGTGCTGGATGGTATGACCTTAAAAAAAAAAATCACTTTATTTGAAACTTGCCATGAGGAGTATCTAAAAGTGCCAAATAACAAGGATGCTGGAATCGAACACCCATTACCTCAAAAGAGGGTGAAAATACAAAAAAAAAGAAAAAAAAAAGAAAAAGAAAGAAAGAAAGAAAGAAAAAATAACTATAAAACTAGTAAGCATAAATATATGCTATCCCTTAAAAATGTGCAGTGCCAGTTAACTGAGAAGCAAGGACAAGAAGATCATGATCAACAAATGCTCGGCAATCGAGGCACTTAGAGGGGATGCCACCCCGAATGCCATTTAATCACTTAGAAATCACCCCCCCCCCCATGTGCTAATGTTTTTCCTCCAGTTAAACTACAAGCTTCATAAAACCAGGGCTGCATTACCTCCATGAGTGTCAGGTTGAAGCATCTGACTTAGGAAAATTCCTAAGTGGCCACAGTGCTTTCCAACTTCTTCATTCATTGCAAGACAACAGCAGGGCTCGGGGCTATTAAACAGAAACTATGACACTCTGCACTGAGGGGACTCGAGCAGCCTGGGAAAGCCAAGCGCTTACTCAGTGCTCCAGGAGTTCTCAAGATGTTGAGAAAAACAGGGAGCTTCCTTACTTGCCGATGTTTAAGAGCAGTTTCTCAAAGATACTCGAGCAGTTTTCTCTCCATCTGGTTCTGGCTTCTTACCATGGCATTCTCCTTTCCAGTATAAGAGAATCAGAAAGGAGGGGAGATTGTGGTGGAGGACATTCTCTGACCACGGATCCAACTGGAGGACATGAAGGAAATCTTTAGGGCTCTCGATCCATCACCTTGAACTTCCTCAAGCCACTGACATGAGCAATTATGATCAAGGATTATGAAAAGGGGGTCAAAAATTATCAAACTATAAAGGACTATTTAAAAATCAAGCCGGGTGGCGGTGGTACATGCCTTTAATCCCAGCACTCGGGAGGCAGAGGCAGGCGGATCTCTGTGAGTTCGAGGCCAGCCTGGTCTACAGAGTGAGCTCCAGGACAGGCACCAAAACGACAGAGAGAAACTCTGTCTAGAAAAAAAACCAAAAAAAAAAAAAAAAAAAAAAAAAAAAAAAAATCAAACTATTTCTAATTCTTGGTAACAATATATGTGTATTTTTTAGTCAAGAATTTTGAAAGATGGTTTTCATCCAGAGAAATCTATCTTGCGGTGGGAACTTATGTATTAAACAGTTTTGCAGAGTGACTTTCAAATATGCACCCAGCTCACTGTGGTATGCTTCCCAACAAACCAATTATGTGTTGGTTTCAAGATCATTCACCTAAATTCTCTACCAGCACCTGTCTCAAAAAAACGTGAGCAGTGACCTCTGCATGCAAAGCAAAAAACTGGCCTTTGTGCTGTGGTAAGAGCTATGAGGCCAGATGCTTATGTTTCAAGAGATACAGGTTTGTATAGGGGGGCTTTCTTTTCAAATCAGATTCCTAAAACTTCACCTTTGCAACAGAGAAACCTCTTCATGGCAATCTAGAGGGCTCGGCCGTTAACCCCCGAGAGCTGTTGGTGGTCTGTGATGAGTAGATATACGGTGACAAATCTATAGGTCCTCTCAGGAACAATAAAAGCATCCACATGCTTAGAATTGCAGTGAAAGCATCCGAAGCAAAGTCCATTTGCATGAGGGTTTCTCATATTACGCTGGCAGGTGGATGACATTATTGGTTTAGTATACTAAGTTTATTTTTCATTGTGTATCACGTGAACCAAGGACAAGACCTGAACAAGCAACATGGCCAAGCCAACAAGGAAGTCTGCTTTTGTGTCTGCCATCTGCTCAGTCCACCATTTTTAATATGGCTGGAAGTGCAGCATACACAGCCTATTCTTTTAACCTGTGATTATAATTGCTGATATAGGAGCCGCTACATGTTCTGTTACGGGCTATAAGCTCACTCACTGCTTGGCACATACATTTAGTAAACATTTATCGGATGGGTGTATAAAATTTTCTGTGTCATCAAAGCATATAAAATTAAAGCTTTACTTATCATGAAATATGGGTGCAGGACGTTGTAACGTACTTGTCTTTTCGCTATTGGATGTGTATTAAATATTATGAAAACATTTTTGCATATGTAAACTCCCTCCCACTTCATGTAGAGAGGAACTATCTATAAGTGATCAGAATCTCTTCTATATGGTTTTCATCGTGAACAGTCAAACTACTACTCCACAATGACATATTACGGCAATATAAAATGACAATTCTGGAACATGTTTCTCATGGATGAAACATCAACATTTTTTGTTTACAACTTTTGTTGGTTGGCCATCATACCAAGTCTAGTTATTATTTCTTCTTGCTTATTACAGACTTTGATTTTTTGCTTAAAGAAGAATGATGTGAATCTTTTGTTCTGGTTGGTGCCAGTATTTAATATATTCCTCAGTTATCTGTGACATCTTTTCTTATGTATAGGTTTAAAATTAATATAATCATAATCAGGAGATACTGATCTTTCCCAAATAATTATTAAAAATCTTTGTTCTATTAGTGTATATTTCAAAACAACATTTTAACATTGAATTCTTTTAGTCAAATGGAATTTAATTTTCCACAAATCGTAATTTAGATGTAATCTAAATATTCAAGTATTATTTCTTGTCAATCTGCAATTTTGCCTCACTTACCAAATATCAAAAATGCCTCATTTTGGGACACTATATTTTTTTCTATTTTATTTGTTAACATCTATTTTTGAAACAGACTTTTAAGACAAATGATAGTTTCTTTAAGATTATGTTATATTAATAATTTGAAATAAGTGACCTCTCATTTTTAATTTTGAAAGAACATTTATTTGTGCATTTATCTGACTCTTTTTCGGGGGGGGGGGCGGTGAGAAAGACAGCAGCTTTTCTTTAGATGTTAAAGGGTCACATAGGCGAGGCTAGTGTGACAGCACACGCCTGTGGTCCCAGGGCTCAAGAAGCTGAGTCGGGAAGACGTTTCCAGTTTGAGGTCATTGCTTTCTTTCTACAGGTCACATAGATTTGGTTTGTAAGTATCCCAGATATCAGTAGGAATGAGATCTCCTTTTCCTGTTTCCTAATGATACTGCAAACATCAAAATATTGTTAGTTTTGTATGTTAACCTTGGATTCATCACTGAACCAACTCTGGGAATGTAATTCTCTAGTTATAACTACTAAATTACTTCTCTCTTTTTAGCTGGGTGGCTTTTTGGCAACAATCTAAATTCTATCTTTTCATATCATACTATGGAATATGCACGTTAAGTTTGGCCCTGATCTCAAGAATGACGAACAATGTTATCATTATGGGTAATCATAGCCAGTGATTTATTGTCTTTGTCTATTAAAAATTTAAAAATGAGCCAGGTGGTGGTGGTGCATGCTTTCAATCCCAGCACTTAAGAGGCTGAGGCAGGCGGATCTCTTTGAGTTCGAGGGCAGCCTGGTCTATAGAGCAAGTTCCAGGGCAGACTCCAAAGCTACAGAGAAACCCTATCTTAAAATAAAATAAAATAAAATAAAATAAAGTTACAACAATCCATGTAGACTAACATAACCTCAAAATAATGGTTGTCATTGGGGAAATTTGAAGATTAATTTTATAATGGAGCAGAAGAGAGTCATTGCCGGACTGTATTCCCTAAGCAAAAAAGTCTAGGCAAGAAGAAAAAACTTGATACAGTAACTTTCAAAACACGAGCCTTTCTGTTAACTGTACTGACAACCCTATTAATGTAATACACCCAGATTCAATCCATTGTATCTGATTATATCCCGTCTGTCTTCTCTATAAAATGTCTAAACCCACAACTGCCCATAAAAGCAAGTTTTTAGCTGTTTGGTTTTCTACTTCATTCTTCTGAAACAGAGCTGATTGCCAAAAGAATACAACACCTTGAAGGTGTTTTCCTCCTTGTTACTTTGGTGTCAAAGACCAGAAAGCAGAGAGATGTGAGCTTCCATGTCTCTGGAAGAGGAGATGTCAATTCCTTGTCTAGCCACTGATTTAAAAAAAAAAAAAATGGAATTAGTTTCTCATTGAGAAGAGACAGAAGGTGACCACAGATGTCATAAGGGAGAACCGAGTGTGTGGACTTTAATGGAGTGTGAAGGAATCGGCAGCAGGCAACACTTGGTTGTTCCTGTAAGATACTGTCCTGTGAGATACATGTCCAGTGTCCGCTGCAGTGGCCTCCAAAAAGCCATGTAATGAGCCACCACGGCTATCCCTGTGGATGACCAGGGTTCCCAAGTTCTGGAACTAAATGAGCACTGGCAGTCATCATTGCTTACCTTTTACAAATAAGGCCTAACAAGAGTGGACACCCGGGTCACACTGGCCAAACTATGACTCCATTCACTAAACGCCGTGGCGGACACTGGTCCAGCTAGCAGATCTACCTCTGAAGCACGGAACTGGCTCCTGCTTCTTTAGAAAATGACGTTTAGTTTGAATGACCACTTTTCTTAAAATAGTACTCATACGTGAATGGGTTGATTTCACTCTGTAAATTTGAACTAAAATATGCAAATGTGAAATATCAGAACTCGATTTTTTTTTAAATTTGGACAGTAGATGATTAAAACAAAATTTACAAAACCAAGTAAATAAAATCTATGAAAAGAGTACTCAAAATATACCATGAAACAAAAATGTTCTAGACAGTACTTTCCAAAAGAATAGCCTCTTTGGAAGAGTACAAGAAATGCTCAGTGCATGTAGCTAAGTGGAGACTTCACAAATTTTTATATTAATTACTAAACAGCTTCTATATTAGTGGAGTTGTTGACATTTGCCTACAATACATACAAAAATTATGTCTATAAAGTACACTTCTATGCATTTCTTCTGGAACAAAATAAAAATGAATGCATACCTTTTCCCAGTGAACAATTTCCCAAGCACCATTTCTCAAAACTGCAAAGAGAAAAGATGGCAATTTAAAGAACATTTTTTTTTACTACCAATCATAAGCCTCTATCTAATGAAATGATTATTTTAAACGGATAGCTTTGGATGCAATGACTAGCAGCAATTCACAACTTTAAAAACTAGGTGTGGCAGCAAGGATCAAACAAGGAGATAAAACCTTCCAATTTCTATTTCAGCCCCCATAGTGATCTACTTCTGACTCAAGGCAGCTTTATTGGAGTGGCCATATGCCTCCTCCAAGACACAGGGGAACCTCAGGGTTAAGTAGGGGTAGAGTTGGGGAAAAAAACACAAAAAAAATTATAGAAAAGGAAAAGCCAACATCCAATTCCTAATGACAACCGTTACCCTCAGGTTGTGCTGATCTACACGGGTAACTATTGTAACAATCAATTTTTAAACTGGAATAGACAAAGATGATAAAGCAGGGACATCACAGATTTCTAATGAGTAAGGCTTTAATACAAAGAAGCAACAGAAAAAAAAAACCCTGTATTATTAGGTCCTCAATAATGCAAAAACGTTTTATGTTCGGCTTACTAGAAAAAGTGGAAAAAGCTATTCTGAAATGATGGGAGAAGAGTGAGCATTTTACAGCGGACTTTACTGCTTCAATGCACAGTATGGTTACTCAGCATCTCTAACCCTAACCTACTCTAAGGGTGTGATGTAACACTGAGCACGTGGATGCACACTGAACACTGAAAACAGTACACAGCAATAATGTGAGGCATGTAACCGTACACCAAGGAAGAAAAAAAAAAATCAAGGTCCATTGATAAATGATACAGACATTAAACCCTTGAGGGCAAAGCCAAGGTTTGCTTTAATCAGAAATAGCAGAGCACATACACAATGCAAAATTACAAAGTAAGCAATTTATAGTGAAAAATATACGCCGTTCAGTGTCTTTTGAAGTTAGAAAGGACAGAGTTGAAACCCTCTAGAAAAAGTGATGAAAACAAGCCCAAAGCATTAAATAGCAAACCTAACATCGATTCCACATCATGCTTTGAAACCAGTACTGTAATATACTATACTAAAATATAATATTTTAATCTACATGTATTTCTTATATTTTCAAATTCTCTTGAAGTTGGGCTCATATCACACTTCGTTCCTTATTTCTAATGTCCTGAACCACTTCGGTCATGTGAGACATTCAGATGCTGACAGAAAAAGAATAAACACCTTGCAAGACATTTGCTGAGATGATAACTTTATTAAATCGGAAGGCTAAGACTAAAGCATGTCCGATATACTAGCCTTGTAACTATATGCAAGTTAAAATTCTTCTTTTTATACTACTTAAACAGACAGGGGTCAGCGATCTGAACCACACACACCCAGCATTATATCTAGTCTCTGAAACTCTAAGGCTAGCAGAGCACACCCAAACTCATCCCACAAGGAAGGTTGCTCCTTGCCAGTGTTCACGCAGTCCCAGGAGTCTAGCGGACAGAGCTCACAGTAAAAGCCTGGGCTTAGGCTGTGTCTGCCGATGTTCCCTAGCGTCTTCCTCAGAATGGTTCGTCACCGTGAATCAAGATTAAAGAAGTGAACATGCTGCCTGTTGCTCATAACCTAGCAGCTAAGATATAAACAAGTATCCACAGGAGAGATGGCCAAGTGCTGTTCACATGGACTCTAACTAGATTAACTGATACAATGGACAAAAATATTTAGTTGAAATTTATACCCTTCAGGGCCCATTTCTTATTAAGCACATGTTTTTTTCCAAATCCAATATTTACCCCCCCCCCCTTTATTGGGCATGTGTATATGTGTGAACGTGTGTGCATATATGCATATTTGGGTGTGTGTGGGGGTGCATGTGTGTGTGTGTGTGCACAGGTGAGTATGGGTGTGTGTGTGGTTCTAGGCATCCTAACTCTGGTCCTTGTCCTGTACACCAAATGCTTCGCCCACTGAGACATCTCCCCAAGCCCCATTTTTGTTCTTTTGTTGTTGTTTGTTTTTAAACCACTATCTAATTCCTTCAAAAACAATGAAATCTGACATGAAAATAAAGGTGTCGGGCTGTACAGAATGAACATCCTGGGGATCAACTGAACAACACAGTAACTGGAGTTAACACATGCTACGCTTGAAAGGGGATGAGAGGATGGAACTCAATAATCCCACCAAAGAAAACCAAGTGAGGCATGGGCATGGTAATTAGGCTGACATATTTACAGTCCTCTGTGGGTATTGTTTAGGAGCCCTCCTCCCACTAAGATACCCAAATCTGCAGATGCCAAAAGTCCTGTATAGAAAATGGCATAGTATTTACATATAACCTATGCACATCTCCCTAAATAATTTAAATACTTAGATTATTTAGAGTACCCAATGTAATACAAATACTATGCAAACAATTATTCTATTGTATTAAGCAGGATATGATGGCAGGAAAAATGTCTGCACTCATTCAATACGAACACAATTCCTTTTCCTTTAATATTTTTTTATCTGAGGTTAAATCTGAAAATACAGAGCCTGCTGACATACATAGCAAAACGTAAAGTGTGATACCATAAATGTATGAAATTTTGCGAAAAAGTTAGAGCAATGATTATAATATGTTAAGTATTAAAGAGGAGAGCCTGAGAAGAACATAAAGCATTTTAGCTTATCTGGAAACCGTCTCTGAAGGTCAGGCAACTTCAGGTTGAATACCGCACTGTGACCATGTGGCCACCTCCTTGTTACAAAGGTCAGCAGTCTATCACTACATTCATGGTTTCTTGCTGTCTCACACCCGGCCTGCTCCCCCCAGTTACAGTATCTGCCTTGATCGTCCCTGTGAGACTCCCCTTACTCAGCTGAAGAACAACTTCAGAATGGACAGACTGTAAGTATTCCAGTCAGTGAGCTTTGAAAATTATGAACACCTAGGTATCCACTACTAACAAGTCCGAGGACTCCAGAGTGGTCCCCTGTACTCTGCTGACACCATCCCTCGGGGCCCAGAAGCCAGGCCAGGCCAAAGTCGTGTGCCATAGGGAGGTCTTGTATTTCACATACACCCATCCCTCTGTATCCACAATTGAATTGAATTTGTATATTCAACTAATTGTGGATAAAAAATATTAAAAATAAACAAACAAACCTATGTTTGTATAGAACATGCACAGACATTTTTATCAGTATTTGCTAACCAAGGTAGATATTATAATTTTTCATGGTATTTATATCGAATAAGGTATTGCTATAATTTTAATATAAAATATTCCCACAGGCTCATGTTTTGAACAGTTGATCCCAGCTGGGAATACTATATTAGAAGACGTCGGAAACATTAGGAGACAGAGTCTAACTGGAGGAAGTAGGTCACTGGGAATACGCCTTTGAAGGTTACACTGGGTGCGTAGTACCCCCCCACACTTCCTGTCTGCCACAAGGTACCTAGTTCTCCACCATGATACCCAGGTCCTTGGAGCCAAGTAACCATGGGTTGAACCCTCTAGAACCATCAGCTCACATGAGCCTTTTGAAAAAGTGCTATTTATATCATATAATTCATTACAGTGATGGAAAGTCACTAATAAACATATAAGTAATCCAGGAATGACTGAAGGTATCTGGATGATGGATTATAGGTTATATATAAATATTTAGCCATTTTGTATGAATGAGGTGAGCATCTGGGGAGCGTCCTGTCTTAGGAGAAGGATCCTGGAACTCTTCCCTAAGTGGGTAGTGAAGGGCAACTGTACTTTGCCTCTTAGTCTATGTATTTTTATATTCACTTTCTGTTCACATATCTGGGACTATGATTATAAGACTTTTCTTTCCTTCATTATGCTAACATAGCACTGTGATGGGCTGTGACGAATTCTATTCCACCACGCTATTTTCATGTCTTCACACCACCACACACTATTACAATTATTGCTACTTTATGAAATAATCTTTGACTTAGTTATTCTAGGTCATCTAACTTACCCTTTTGTGATGGTAATTTGGCAGTTTTAAGTCCTTTGTCTTTTACCAAAAAAAAAAAATGATAAATGTATAAAGTTCATAAAGATTTTCCAGTTTTGTGTGTTCATTTTCTTCGCTATAAAGTTACGTTGGCCTTGAACTTGAAAGCCTCCTGATACAGCTTCCTAAGTGCTGAACTGGTAAGTGTTGGCCACCAGGGATGGCTGAATGGTCAATTAAGAAAAATGTATATGACTATTTTGCCTGCATGTTTGTTTAAGTACCATATGCCTGCTCAGTGCACAGAGGCCAGAGGAAGGGATTGGATCCCCTGGAACTAAAGTCACAGTTAGTTGTGAGCCACCATGTGGGTGCTGGGAATTGAACCTGGGTCTTCCGGAAGGGCAGCCAGTGTTCTTAACCATGGAACCATCTCTCCAGCCTGAATCATCAGTACTTAAAACATAACACACACATACACAACCACAACAAAACAACAGAAACCCCTTCTTAAATTTGATTTGGAGCTCCAGCCTTTTAATTCATGGTTAAACGGTATCTATCCATTTACTTCTGTCTGCATTCATTTCCTCTTAGATATATTTTCCAGTTTTCTGTAAATTGGCCTATCACAAGGTTTTCTGATATTTCATTTCTTTCTTTTTATATGATAATTTTATTTCATTGAAAATTAGTTACTGGTAATATATACAAATGTACTAAGTTTAAGCACAATTACCTTTTTGTCTCGGAACTGTTACATTTTCTTATTAGCTTACGTATAGTTACTTTTTTTAAAATTATGATTAATGATACTTTCTGAGCCACTTAATTTTTTATATGAAGAATGTCATAGCATGCTTTTAGATAAACTTGTTACAATCACTGCATCATTGCTCATCTCATTTGGAAAGATAACAACTTCTCTTATTATGGACAAACATCCTAACAATAAAAATGTCCTATAGGGCTGGAGAGATGGCTTGCAGAAGATCCGAGTGTGGCTCTCAGCATCCATGTCATGCTGCTCACAACTGCTTCTAATTCCAGCTCCAGGG